CAGGATCCTACGTCCCTTTCCACCCTGTAACCACACGGGAGTAGCTCAGGAGGATGCGTGTGGTGTTCGGGCTTTGCTTCTGGTTGTGCCGCTGTTTTTGCTTAATTCACCTCTGCCCCGAGAGCTGGGATTCTGATACGCAGCTTTATGGAGGGTTTTGAGGGCTCCTGTAGATGCGATGCAGTTGGGAAGTGCTACCCAGGCCTCTTCTTCCTGCTGCTTGCTTTTATCCTGGTTGGAAACTCCATAAATCCTCATGGTTTAGGGCATAAAGCAAATTCTGACCTATTTAAGATGGGAGCAATCCCCCCGGGGCATTGGACCAGAGTTTGTTCTGTGTTGCCAATAATTTGGGGTGTAAACTGGAATGATTAGGAAATGTGCACTATGCCAGCTCTGGATCACTGATTTTTTTTTGCTGCAAACGAAGGGCAGAATGTGGTGTGTGGTGAGTTTAGATGGATAGATAGCACTTGGCAATTTAAACAGCCTTTCTGTGTTCCCTTGAGTTATTTCTCCTGTCACAGTGTTCCTCTTTTTAATTAGGATTTTTTAAATATAGTTATGGTGGAGTATTTTACAGCGTGTGGAAAAAAATGTAACAGAATAATATAATGATGTTAGAGACTATGATTTGCCATTAAATATTATACAGACATCGCTCTGGGTTGTCTTTCCTTTAAATACCAAACCGCTATAGTTGTCCCATTCTCTCGTGTTTATTTTTCTGTGTCCTGTACATCTGGCGTAAAATAACACAGATTTTGTTTTCCAAGTGTGTCCAAGGGAATTGTGCCAAATACACATTTTTATTGCTTGACTGCAAAATGAGCGGAAGAATCCTAAAATCCAATAACAATATTGTCAATCCTGGGCAATTCAAAACAATGAATTGTCTCTGTTTGTCTTCTACCTCGGTCCTCGGCTTAGCAATAACAAAGATGAACAGATTAGGCACTTTTTCCTTAGTGTTTTCAGCTTTTAGAGTATAAATTTCCAAGGTTTTCTATGTGACAAGGAGGTCTAGAGCTTCCCACGCATGCTGGCGCTCACATCGGCACCTTTTTTAAATGAAGGCAGTTTCTTAATACCAGATATTGGCTGGAACTAGGAGAAGAACACTATTGGGCAAGTCTTAGTTTGTGCGAGGTGGCAATGCTTCAGCTGGGCGCTTTGGTGGAAGCCGAGTGGATGTCTCCTACTGACTTTAATAGGAGAGGAATCAGGACTGTTTGTTATAACCATTTCTTAAAAGGGAAACTTACAGCTTATTGAAAAAGCGGATATGAAAAGCACAAACTTGCTCTTTTCTTGCCAAGAACCATACAGATTATGTCACTGCATTTATTTAAATCTGGTTTCCATTATGCAGTTTTTCTGCTTTCCCCCCCTACACCCTATCTGGTTCTCAGACACTCAGACAGGGCTGGGCTGCAAACCCTGCAGGACAAAACTCAAACCCATATAAAAAGATATAATTTAAGGTGAAAAAAGATATAATTTAGGGTAATATATGCTCTTTATATTTGTATATTATTGATATACAGTTGTCAGTTATTGATATGAGGAGCCCTTCAAAACAGTTTTTTAGTTTTGCAGGCCTTCTGTTTTTAATTAAATTATGCAGTTGTTAATTTTTTAAGAGTTCCTCCTGCCTGCGCACCTGGATCCTTATGGTAGCTCTGCAAATGCCACAGATATTTTTCTGTTCCCAGATTCCGTCCCTCCCTCCCTCCAGACAGACAGACAGACAGACAGGGTCCTGACTTGTTTATAGGGCGACTGGTTAAACCTTCCAGTTCAACACTCTCCCATATAAAGGGGTAATCTTAGGATGTGATTGATTCCCGCATGGAGAGCAGCCAATATCGGGCTCAAAAATCCGTTTGCAAGTGTGTGAAACATGAAATGTGCATCAAATGTGAAATAAAAAATTGTTGGCAATGGAGCAAGCATCTTTGCTGTTTAAAGGGCTAAGCCTCCTTTTATGTGCAGCACTACCACATATGTGGGATGATTTTTATTCTGCTCTGCCAAACATCTGAATTCTGCCCATACTACCTACTGAAAGTCCAATTTTGTCTCCATTTCACTTAATTCGGGGCTTTTCCCTGGGAGATCCTGCCAGTGTTAAAATCACTTGCGGTTGCATGGGATGTGCAAACAGCCCCTTCTTGCATGCAAAACTGGACAGCCTCCTAGGGAAAATGTTTTATCCGCTAGTAAGCTGGCCAGGAAGTGTCTTCAGGATAAAAAATGAAGTGCAAACCACAGCAAAATACAGCATTTTAAA